ATATCCAACCAATTAAATTGGGAGTAAAAAAAAAAATCACAGAGAAAATGGCACCTACAGGAGACAAGTGAAGGGTGGCCTACATTGCCATAACTGGAGAAGATGAGAAGCATGGAAGAGAACAAATATTTACAGATATTATGTAAGTTTTCTTAAACAAAAGATGATTGGAATCTACACATTAAGTATGGTATGCACACAACATCTGTGAGGAAAATGACCCCACATGAATCCCTTCAAGACATAAACTGTAGATTTACCAGATTTCAAAGTCTACTCTTTGTTGCATGCAGCAAAATGATGACACCCCTTCTGATGGGAAGGCAGGTAGCTTCTGTCCCCTCCTGGGAAATAACGTGAACCACCAACCTCCTAGCAGCTAAACTGACTTTATGTGTAAAACAGTAGCAGAGAGGCCATTGTGAACAAAGAAGAACTTGCAATATTCCCTATAAAGACTTGGGTTAATGGACCCATGGTGAGCACACGGTCCATCTAACACAGAACTCTGGTGACACTAAGGTTGGGCATATGGTGGCAGACCAGAATGCAGAAGGCGTAGGCACTGACAATGGAGAAAGCATGTATATAAAAAATTTAAAAAAAAAAGGATCTTTGGCAAGCTTACCATTCCTCATCCTGATGGTCGTGTCTGCAGAGAGGGAGGCCCAGGCCACTGACACTGATCCGGCCTGATCCTCTCTCCTGCAGTTTCTCTTCTAAGTGGCCCAGGTACCACCTTTGACCCCTCCCTTTCTCGTACACCCACATCAAGTCCATCAGCCAAATGGACTCAGAGTCTAACTTGTCCCTCCTCCACAGCTGTCATCCTGGTCCAGGGCACCTCACAACACAGGCCTCCTGGAAGGTCTGCAATTCCCTTTCACATAGTCAACTTTCAACACAGCAGGGCCAGTAGGACCCTTTTAAAATACGAGGCAGATTACACAGCTTCTCCTGGGTTACTCCAACTGCATCCTAAATGCTGGACTCAGCGTGGTGGCAGAAGGAGAGTGTCACTGTCACCACTCGGATCCCCACTCACCCCACCTTGGCAAAACCACATCCAGAGACTGACTGATGAGCACTCCGACCACCTGGGGCCTCTAGGATCGCCTGTCACTCACTCTGCCCCAGTTTCAGTGACTTTCCTGGTGTTTCTGGCACATTCCTGACGTAAACCCGCTTCCGCCCCTGGCTTCAGCACTGGCTGGTCCTTGAGCCTTCAGTGCTCCCCCTGCAGACCTGCACACGGCTCATCTCCCATCTCTTTTAAGTCTTTGCTCAGATGTGACATTCTCGGGAGGCCTTCCCTGACAACCCTATTTTAAATGTGCTCCCACCCCCGATACCCAGGCATGCTCTGACCCTTGTCCTTGGACATTCCATGACCAAAGCCTCCCTGGAGGTCAGGTGTAGCCCTGTTTGTGGGCAGTCAGGGAGCGAAGGACGCCCAGGCAGGCCCCGGGCCAGTGCCCTGGCCACCGCGTCCATTAGAACCCCTCCTGGCCCCTCGGCAGCACACAGGAGGTGTTCTTGGTCTGTGGGACAGTGATTGAAACCTGTTTCCTCCACTATAAACGACATCCATGTGCTTAGCTGTGGGTTTCTGGGGGCACAGATGAGACCCACCATGGCATTAAGTCCTGATTTTTAATTTTTTTAAAATCTCTTTAGACAAGAGGCCTCATTTGTAAAAGAAAAAAACTCAGGAGACAGAATTTAATGTCTTATATTTTGTGTATCCAGACCCAAGGTAAAAAATGCAATAACATTATTTTTTCAGCAAGATTGTTGCATGGCTATAATAGCTGCCCTTAAACAATTGAGATTACTTTTAAACGCTGCAGCCCCAGGATTACACTGTTGCATTTCTCAGAGAAACAATCGTAGTCTGTTTTGTTTGCATCTTTTGGGCCACATGTAAGGGAGCGGCACTTATGCTTTCAGTGGATATTTGATTACTGGAAACACATTCCGTGAGGAAGGCTCCATTTTCCTAAGAAACATCTTTATTACTTGTGTAATTAAAATAATGATACACACTATCCCCCTATACTATTTGGAAATAGTATTTAAAAACCCAGCACAGTACATGGCATTTTCTTTTGGTAGTAAGAAACTGGCCATGCTATGGGAGGATGTGTAAGTCAATAAAATTCTGGCAGGCGGCCAACACACATTGAAAGCCATAGAAATTGCTTACTCTTTGAGCCTACATTTCTACGTCTAGAAATTTATTCCCAGGGGAAAAAATGGACACCTGTACAAAGATCAATGAGATAGAAGTCATTGTGACATTTTGATAACAGTGAAAAACTGGAGAAAACACGCAATATCCAATAACAGTGTTGGACACTCCTAATTGCCAAGTGTCCATCCTTCTCTTACTTAGTGAAACAATACAGGCTGCAGTCATGAGAGCAGCGTGCTCAGCTACAACACAGCTTGCAGAGCACCCCCCAACACCCCCCCCCCCCGCCCCTGCCATGGCTCAGGGCGACCTAGCCAGTGAGATGTTAGCAGAGTTGATTAACGACACATTCCAGAAATTTCCTTAGAGGGAGCTGACTCAGGTGGGAGTGACCACCCTCTCCCTTCACTCTTCCTCTTTAATGGAAATGTGGAAGTGGCTGCTGGAACCCAGTGGCTATTTTTTTTTGATGGTGGGAGGTGTTTGCTAAGAGTGGCAGAAGAGAAAAATACAAGTAGTTTGGGTCCCTGATAACTTAGGGTAAAAACAAACTAGCCCTGAACTATCTCTCTCTAGACCCCTCTTATGGGAAAGAGTAAACCGATATGGCTCTAACTCACGGAACTCAATCCTAACAAAGGCAAGAGATAGTTAGATGTACTTAATTGATGTATTAATATAAACTCTACACAGACTTTAAAAAATCATACTGAATACCCATGTTTGTTGACATGGAAAGACATTCATAGCATTCTGTTAACTGAAACAAGACTCTAAGTCAGGAAGAATCCTATGACCAAATTATTGTTAAGAAATACAAAATTATATGTATATCTATAGATAGATATATTTGCCTGGGGAACAGGTCTGAAAGGCTAAACAAAAATGTTTACAGGAGGTACCTTTGGTTATCTTTGAATGATGTTATGTGGGGGAATTTAACTTGTCAAAATTTTGTTGTTTGTTATTTCTAATTTTTTATTCAATGATTTTAAATTGCATATGAACTGTAAAGATAAAAAGGCTACTATAATTTAATTTGCACATCAGTGATGGGAAGGAATAAAATGCCTGTAATACCCATGACACATGAAGTATTTAATCTATGAAAAACACTCCTGAAAATAAATGACACATGGAAATAAGTGTGCAAGTAACATGAATAGGAAATTCCCCAAAGGGGAAACAGAAGTGGTCAGTAAACATAAGATAAAACATTTTTAACATCATTAGTGGTCTAAATATGCAAATTAAAACAGAAAACCATTTCACTCGTCGCACTGTAAAGATTGAGAATAAAAAGATCCTATCTAATTGGCAAGGACGCGGGGACACACACAGCCTCACACTGCTGGTGGGTATATAAATTACCCTAATATTTTCCAAAGGGCACCGGGCCAGTCTGGACCAAATGCCTTATATGTGGCCATGCTATGCTATTTCTAGGTATTTAGCTCAAGAAAGCAATCACATGTGTGCACGCACATTGCATTAAACACGAGGATGTTCATTGCTGCGGTGTTTACAGTTATAAGAGCCTGGACACAACCAAGGGAGAGGTAGGGAATATCTGCATGATGGCAAACATTAGAAACCACTTTGAAGAAGAGAAGTGTCATGAAAAATGTTCATAATATCCTAGGTGCACACATGTATAAACTAAATTCAATGTGGTATGCTGCAGGGGAGTAACCTCAGAGATTTATAAAAAATTAATTGATTCTCTCTGCAATCAAATGGTGTCTAGTACCTCCTTCCCTCCCTTCTCTCCTTCTCCCTGAAAGGAAACAGAGCAGAGAGGACTGTGACAGTGTGCTCTGTAGTTTTCTTCTATTGTTGTTGTTTTCATTATAAGAAAATGCAACATGCTATTTTAAAAAGTAATATCCAGAATACAAACCATGATTAAATAAACAAATAAATAAACACACTCATAACAATTAAACACATGTCATAGGTCTTAGATTGTCAGCAAAAAGATTAAATTTGTTTGATTGTTTATCCCACTGGTGCATATGTGGACCTCAACTGTTTGATAAACAAATTACTGAAGTAAGGTGAATAAATGAGAAAAGAAAGAGAACTTTCAATATGTTCATAAGTGCGGTTAAGCCAAAATTCCTGGAGAAGATGATAAGATGCATGTAAATTATTTTTACAGTGCCAAGAATCGTTCCCCCATTTGTTTACACGTTACACATTTCTATTTATGTGATGTTTACAATGTTACCTTCAAGGGGAAATGCTACTTTGAAGAGAAACCATGATTAGAAATGAAAACAGGGAACATTAGACACTCAAAATAGGACAATGGATGTGTTTGTTTTTGTATATCATTTGTATATTTTGTATAAAGGTGACCAAGGAAATAAAAGAAGCAACAATTTTATTTGTAACTTTCTAAAACCACTTAATCTCATAAGTCTAAATGCCAGGGAAATAATTTTCTAACAAGCAATTCTGACAATTTCTACTTGTATCTCCACATGTCGGGTGGGCAGTGGTCCCCATGCAGATCACGGTTATACAACATAGGCAGGCAGATTGAACGTTTCCAGGTGCGGAAATAACTTCCATGAATAACCTGCCTCCCATTCACGATTGTTCCCAGGGTGTTATACAGACACCAACACATTCATGGTCCGAATAAAAATGACTACTGGGGCGATATGTAAGGACAGACTTGGAGGAGCTATAGGCATATCTACTTTAAAGGCACATCTCCGGAAAGACTAGAAATCCTCACCTAATTCTTTCAAATGTAACATATGTTTGGTAGATAACAAGCACACAAGTAACTTCATACCTTTAGAGAATTTCCACACTATGGTGGGGACAGGATACCCCTCGGCAGAGCAATTGAGGATGACAGCCTTGCCATAAATCCCATCCTGGTCTCGTGGCTGAACCACAAACTTGGGAGGAACTAAAAAAAGAGAGATATGTCATCAGTAATTCAGACAAGGTCACAATGTATTGAAGGTATGGTTTTAAGAAGTCGAAGAATTCTAATGAACATTAAAACACAAAGAATGTTTTACATATATAGGATATTAAAAAAAACAGTGTTTGCAATTTGGGACAGATTAAGGAAGCCATCTCAGTGTGGGCAATTTTTGTTATTTATAGCAATGAGCTTCTGAAGCTGTAAGTGACTCCACCGCCAGGAAGACTAGACTCTTGAGTGTGGGAGGTGGGAGGTCAGAGGTGGGGGGTGGACTCCGCCATAGGAATGGGACATTCTGGCTTTGATTTGTGTTCTGGAAGACCTTCAGGAATACACTTCATGGAAAATAGAATCAGAACCATCATTTAAAGGACAGATAAAACTCATTTGCTTATTGAAGAGTAATTATCAAGAGTAAGTAGTCCTCCTGGGTGTGCGGTACTCAAAGCATTTGATATGTGTTCTTCCCAAAATTGGAGATGAAGGGAGAACTAGAAGGCATCCCCTAAAGGCAATAAAGAACACAATATGCTATTGAACGTTCTCCCCAAATCGGATGAAGACACTTAAGCCATTATCTCTGATGTCAGTATCCTTCGGGGCCAAAAAGGTACTATGGAGGCTAGCTGGAGTGAGGTACCATGATGGCTTTATAGTGTACCCATAAAATAAGCAGATTAAACAACTGCATATTTGGTGAGTTTTGTGAAATGCTGGGAAAAAATCCATCCCTGTGTGAAACATACACATACACTCTGTTTAAAACATACTTGTGGAAACAAATGCTTTGAGTTAAGTTATTGTGATTTTTAAGAGTATTTGCCTTTTCCCTTAAAAAATACAGATTTTTCTAGGTAAGGTAGCATCTGAAGGTGTTCAAATCTTGAAATATTTTTCAGCAGATCAATGATTAATATGGGATGGGCTTTCAAAGAAGCAGTAACAGGATTGTGTGAGAGTAAATGGGTTATGTCCTATATATTAGATAACTTAGCAAATGTGGATGTGCTTCCTCCTCTCTCCATAATTCCTGAGAAAGCTAACCTTGTCTGCCTTGCAGTTTCCAGAATTCTCCATTTTTAGACACAAACGTGGGCCAATGTGCTAGAGATAGGCGTTTCCGCCACCATGTGTACTGGACTGGGAGGAAGGTCAGCGGTGAGGTTAGCTAGGGGCTTAGAAGCACATTGAAATAATAGAAGCCACAGTGAAGATCACTTTGGCCATAAAACAGCCAAGGAGAAGGGAACAATATCAAGACATAAGAAGGTGCTGGAAACAGGACCCACTGCTGGGTCTGTAGAGGAGACAACAGAGTGAAGGCTAGAAGGAGAGCTGGAGACCCAACCCAAGAGCTGAGGGCTGAGCACCTGGGCTGGATCGCTAACTCTGCTCCTTCCAGTGGGATGATATTGTGCAAGTTATCAAATGTCCTTCAACTTTCATTTCCTTATCTGTAAATGGAGGATAATTACAGCACTCATCTGATAGAATTGGTATGGGAGTCAAATGAATTAAACTTACAAATGTTCTCAGAACAGTGCCTAGAAGATATGAGGTATGATCAAATTATATGGTGAATGTTTAAATTTTTAAAAATTATTACAGTAAAAGACACATTGCTATTAATCCCCCTCAAAATATCCCCCCTCGCTTCAAATACACTTATGCCATCATTCTTGCCACTTTCTGAAGCAGTTCTGGAAGTCTTCTTTCGTGAGTGTCTTTAGTTGTGCTGTCGTGGCTGCCTCGATGTCCTGAATTGATTCAAAATGTTTTCCTTTCGTGTCATTTTGACTTTGGAGAAGAACCAGAAGTCACACGGTGTCAGATCCAGTGAATAAGGTGGGTGAGGACACACCATAATGTTTTTATTTGACAGAAATTGCCATACCAGAAGTGATGTGTGACATGGAGCCTTTCCATTGTGATCAGAAAATACAGTGAATGTTGCTGCCGAGTGCCATCCGACAGAAAGGCAGGGATCTTCAATACAGGAAGTGGTGCTTTGAACCTTAGTAACAGTGTGTGACAAGTTTCAACTTGTTCAGTGCAGTCAGTCAGGTGTGAGCTACAGTTGAGAGAAGGTGTGTTTTAAAGTTTGCCAAAAATCATCCTCCATCATGACAATGCTCTGTGTCACACATCACTTCTGGTACAGCAATTTCTGTCAAATAAAGATGTGATGGTGTGTGATGGATTAAGATCCACTTTAATCACTGGATCTGGCACCATTTGACTTCTGGCTCTTCCCTAAAGTCAAAATGATTCAGGACATCGGGGCAGCCAAGAGCACAAATAAAGATGCTCATGAAAGAGGACTTCCAGAACTGCTCCAGAAGGTGGCAAGAAAGATGGGATAAGTGTGTTAGAAGTGAGGGGGAGTATTTTGAAGAAGGGGATTATGGCAATGTGTCTTTTATTATAATCAATTTTTTAATTTAAACATTCACCATATTGTTTGATCACACCTTATATTAAGTGCTGTAGGAGTGCTGGCTAATTTAGGAAATGAGGTATGTCCAGCTTTAAGTTAACAAACACAGTTCCCAACTTGCAAACTAAATAAGTTACATAGCCAATTGATCTCTTCAATACTGCTTAACTAGCAAGCAAATTTACTTCATTTAGATGATATTGTAAGACAAGTATATGCAATAAAAAGTAAATAAATTTAGAATAAGGTGATCAGGGATGACCACCTCATGCTGAAAAAATTATTCCTAGGGAAAAAAATGCTAGAGAGTTTATAGAGCAGTTTTCTAGTAGAAAACAATCAACCTCAAGAATAAATTACAGGTGTACATTATGTAACTTTACTAACAATTGTTAGCCAAATAAACTTTAATTAAAAAATAAAAAAGTAAATAAATAAAAATTAAAAACTTTTGAAAAAGAATAAACTACAAAGTTTATATCAGCATGCCAGATCCTTTCTGCCCAGGTGGAAAGCAAGTATGCAGTCATCTACATTCTACGGTCTGTTTGGCTCACATTCAGCGAAGAGCAAGGAACTCCTTGTCAAGTAGGCAGATAACGAATCTCTTGTGTTTCCTCTGGAAGAATGTCTAATTATAATTGATCCATGGCCACTCCCCTCCATTTGGTTCTAATCCAAAGGGATGTCACTTAAAGACTGATCAAAGAGGTTTACATGGGAAATAACCATTGACATATTGTAAGTACAAGGTAATTACAGATGGAAATGGTCCATATAATTGAGAATTATCTTTCATACCCCCTTCTTTCATCACTTTGTATCAGGTATTGATGATTCTTGGAAAATGGATCACATATCCTCTAATTCTGTTCATCTCCACTGCCATGTCCTAGTCATGATGGGCAGACAGGGTGTGTGGTGAAGTGCCACACGCCCTCTGCCCATCTGGTTTCAGCACCCCTGTGCTGGACAGTTCCACTCACTTTGCCAGGCTACCACGCCAGGAGCTCGAGTCTCTCTTTGCTGTCTCAGGGTCTCCTCTGAAGCCATAAGCACTTACTCACCTTCGCTGATGCAGACCAGTAACATGGGAGACAATCCTACACCACTGAAGGACAGGAGGCAAGATAAACCTCTCCATCCTCCAATCACATGGGACAATTCTAAGATGTGTTCTATGCTTGTGTTTCTCAACCATTAAATGGCATCAGAATCACCCAAAATACTGATTAAAACACAAACTGCTGAACTCCTTCACAAGAAATTCTGACTCAGTCAATCTGAGATGGGATCTAAGATTCTGCCACTCTAATAAGCTCTCAGGTGATGCTGACACTGCTGGTCCAGAGACAAGACTTTGAGAACCACTATTCTATGTGATTCCTCAGAGGGTCACACCCAGGACAAGTGAGCCCCAGTTGTTCACACAGCAACTGGCTATTTAAAACAATTTTTATTGATTTTTCCTCCCTTTATGATCTCATTTTCCCCTATTCTTTCACTCTGGGATCCAGGGTACATCTCCAATAAGCAATCGGTAGCCACTTCTGTATCTCACACTCTGCTTTCAGAAGAACTCAGCTGAAACAAGGCTAATTTTGGCTCTTATATGGGTTTCTGAAACAGCCTTCTAAGTGGTCTGCCTGCCAACCACTGCCCCACTTGAATCCATTCTGCACAGGGTGGCTGGAAGGGTCCTCTAAGACCACTATGGATGACTGACTTCCCTGCTTAATATCATCAGTACATCCCCATTGTTCTTTGATACAATCCAGACTCTGACACTATTTTGAAGGTTCTTTATGACTTGGGTCCTTGTTCTACAGCTTCTTCTCTTGATATTTCCCTCTTCCAGGCTTTGTTCAAGCCATACTGAAGTTTTCTCTAGTCTTCTAGTCCCCATGATCACTCATGCTGCTAGGTCTTCACCCATGTTTCTGCATTTCTTTGTTTAATACATTCTGATTTATTATTATCATTATTTACATCTCAGAGCAAAGTTCACTTAGTCTGGGACACCTTGTATGATGCTGTGGATGAAATTAAGTGCTTCCACAGAACCCTGCATTACCCTAGCATAGCCTTTATCACATTTGTTTCATATTGCTGGTTTAATTGTCCATCTCCCAGATCAGGGTGTACATGTGAGAAGAAGAACCATTTCTTTATCATACATCATATGTCCCCAGCATGGAGCACAGTGTTGGGACATAGGCAGCACTCTGCAAATGCTTGTTGAAGAAATAAATGAATAAATTGATATTATTGATCTAGTTTATAGAAGAGGGAAATAGACCTTGTCTATAGTATCATGGCTCAGTTAACGACTTGGGTCAGTGACCCCAGCACTCAAGGTCTTTGAGTAGGGTGGGCTGTGAAGCACCATCTGAGGGAAGACAGCAAAGCACTGTAGGAGACTTCTGTCCAAGGAGATACAGATCTGTATGTGGAAGGATGTAGCACCTTCAGGACTGACACAATTTGGACCAAAATTTAGGATAGGACTCAAAGACTGAATACTCTATACTGTCTGGGTGTA